GTATCTTCTCAGATGAAGCTGCTAATGGAAATGTCAGTTGCTTGACCTTGCATCACAATGCAAGTTCAAAACAGATTTGGGATCTTTCTTTAAGTTTATTCCTCTGGGCTGAGCAAATTTCTTGCACTGCTGCTAGGTTGCAGGTACGCAAAGCATGGAGAGGAGGGGACGTTTAGAGCCCTGAAGTCTTACAGGCAGAAAGAGAAATGAGAGCAGGCTCTTAAGCGAGTCTGCAGTGGGCATTCTTAGTTTCACAGTAAACCTGTGGAATAGTGGAGCTGCTAGATTTCTGGGGAAAAATCAAGTCCTACACACCTGGTACATACTGGAAAGAATAACTGTAACAGACTAGACTATAAGCTTGATATGAATTTGGTGCTGTTGAAACTGAAACACTGTAAGTAATTGCAAACATCAACCCAGGTTACAATAGGTTGGATTATTACACTGGAAGTTACAGAAGCAGCTAATTTGTGCTAATGTATCCTTAGTTTCTACAGCTGTCCATACAGCTTATTCCCCAAAACAGGAAACTGTATCCCACATAAAGCAACAAGCAGTCAGAAAAAATCGTCTTATTTTTTTTTCAGTGGCACAGAACATGTTTTGCTGCTTGCTGTACCTGTATGATACCCAGAATATCACAGAACAAAGCAGCTTGACAGAGGCCATATGCTGTACTCAATATCCTGCTTGAATGTCTAAGGGCTGGATCCTTCTTGCTAGCTCTTGCTGTCATTTGATAGTGCTTTTTTGCTGAAGGCTTACTCTCCTGCTGCCAGTGTATTTCTTTGGGAGGTACCTTTTATGTCAGTCACCAGCTCATTTCAAAGCAGAATGCTCAACTCGTGATGTTTCTACTGCCCTTCCTGCACTGGTAGTACCACCTTTCCCCAGGCTTCTCTGCCAAGGCTTCTGGTCAGCCGCCCTCCTGTAAGCCAGACCATCTCCTAGACTGGCTGTCATGTCATCAAGCATGAAGCAGAATTGGCCACCATGGTCTTGTGTGTAAGCAAAGGACAGAAACATTACCTCAAGCATGTTGATGCAGCTATGAGTGTGGTGAAAGGAAATCTAAACTGTCCCTGGGTAAAAAGTATTTTTAAAAATACGTGTAGCACAGTTGTCTGGAGCAAAATAATGTCCTGCTGTCATCCTCATGGCACTGCATTGAGCTTGGTTTGACCTAGGTATTCTGCTGCAAGGGTTAGGAAAAAAAAAGTTAACAAAAAGGTGCTTACTGAACTGAAACTAGTAGTGTATTTTAGTGCTGTTTAGTCTTGAGACAGTTGTGCCCCAGCCAGAGGTAGGATTACTCTCTGTTCCTCCTCTTGACTCAGCTCCTGCTGGTCAGCTCACTGGTAAGCCTACTCCTCTAGGATCTGGAAATACACTTTAGTCTCAGTATTTTATTCCTATTGAGACAAAGGAAGACTAATAAATACAGCTAAAACATGCAGAGGATTGCTGTTCTGTAGGTGCCTGAAAGGGAACTACATTTGAGGTACAAAAAACATGGTACCAGCTGCCTTTATAAAATGAAACTCATGACACTTACTTGAAAGAGCTAGATGTTTTCTAATAACTTCCATTCAAGTTACAATACATGTACCGTCATAGGAACATGTACCGTCATACAGGAAGAAAAGCCAAGTTCTCTTCATGACACTTCTCCTTCAAAGCAGTATGAAAAGCATAAGCTCTGTCCCAAGCCAGATGGTGTAACAAGACTGAACTACAACACTAGAGGTTAAATCTGGCCCTGTCTTCTCAGCATATTTTCTGAAAGAAGTTTTATGCTAAGATTTTTCTGTGAATAGCGGTCTAAAAAGAAGGGGGTGGTGTCTTTAAACCAACATCTGTTCTAAGAAAAGAGGCAATGAACAATTTTGTAATTATATTGGAAATGCTTAATCTACAATAATTAGAACATTCATACAGAATTTTCAAGAGTCAGCTTAAAATAATGCACACAATACATTAATTTTCAGAACATCCTAGATGCATCAGTTGGTCGTATTCACCGACATCAAGTTTCTCTCTTCTGCAGGCACACATATATCCCCCAACAGGGCTGGTCCTGCTTTCTGACGTATCCCTGAGGGGTGTCTGATTTCAGTAACCAAGGTGAAAGTCAAGCCTCACGTGCCAGCAAGCTGACACGTCCCAAACTGCATGTGTGCTGATAAAGCCTGGAGGTTTTTTACTCATGCACAGTAGCAAAGGAAGCTCCTGCAGCAGCCAAGCAACAACTGGCTCTATACACAGGACGGTGCAGGACAGCAACCAGACAGCAGTCAGTGACAAACTAGAGCAAACTTCACATCTAGCTCCAGGGTCAGGACCAAAGCTGGCAGAGGGACTATTTGCCCTTAAGTGCAGTAGCTTCAGAGCGCCTGCAGCTCACACAACTTTAATGTGCCTGTGAAGATTGACCACATCCTTGTCAACTTCATGTTTTATGTGGTTGCATTAGAGCCAGTCCCTATTTAACAAACACCATTACATGTTATCCTAAGTGGTACAAAACTTAACTGTATCTTATAATGAATTATAAGTACTTATGCATACTTTATTAGCGGAGTACAAGATCTAGAATTCCTAAAAACATCACAGAACCTTAAATTAAGCCTGGGCAATTGCACACATATAGGAATTACAAGGCTTGGAATAAAAGACAAGCAGGTAGGGGAGTTTTCTGGACCAAGAGGCAGGGGTGAAGTGCAATCAACCTCATTCGAGCTTACAACCTGGAGCTTTATACAAATTGAAAACTCAGTTTAATTACTTAGTTTATTTCTTTCTGCTTTTAGAAACAACTATGGCTGGATAGAACAACAAATAGCAGGGAGTGAGCATGAACTGCTTGTAGTCCTTCACTCATCCACTAACGCATACAAAAAAAGCATCACAAGTTATTAACTGGCCCATTTACGAAGTCTGGCATTGAACTCCGCCTCTAGGGTGATGCTCATCATCTTCATAGACTTCTCCATTATAGTGGTGTTTTCTTTTTTGAGATGGATCAAAGTCTACTAAATCCACTTGTTCCATTTCCTCAGTTTCTTCTATTTCCTGCCTTGTAGGTAGCAGTTTTTCAAGTAAAGACAGCTTATCTGAGGAGAGAAAGCCACTTTCTGGGAAGTTCACCTGAAATCATCAAGAAATGGGGTTACAGAAGTCTGCTTTTCTGGCTTTTTTCCATCCCACTACAGGTCAAGTATCTGCCAAAGTCAGTTTTATCATCACAGATGACTTAAAACCAGTATTTAAAAAAAAAGCCTAGAGAGTTAATTTGTTTTGTTTTTAATGCCTGCAAGAAGTTAGCTTCTAACTCTGGCAACTTAACCAAGTCCTAACCAACACTTACAGTCTGCCCTCTGGAATCACCCTAGAAGCAAAGCACAGGATATATCCACATTAGAGATAGGGTTGAATCTCCTCTAAAACCATTGCAGATGGAGCGTGCGGCTGCTAGAAGCTCCCAGCATTAGCTTTAGAGAAAAAAAAAAAAAAAATCAGCATTTTCCAGCCTACTCCTTTGTTCCAGCACAAGAGAAGTTACTAATCCATCTTTCCTACAGGATGATAGAATCTAAAGAACACGCCAAGCAAATAGGAATTCATAAGGTCTCTCAAGAAATTCTTCTGGTACCTCATGTACTTTCAGCAGACTGTTCCAGAAGTTCTCTCTTTGTTCTGAGCTGTAATTCTGTTTGATGGATTACATGTTCTCATCTTTGTCAAAAACAAATACCAAACCAGGACATCTGGTAATTGGTATCTCTTCCTGAGTTAATGCTTAGAGGTTAAATTTTGGATGAATATTTGGTCCTGAACTGTGCCATGGATGTTAAGTTGATCCACTTACCCTGAATTCTATGATCAGGCGTCCTTTTTCGTATGGTCTGCGATAAATTGGCATACCTTCATTCAACACACACTTAATAGCCCCATGCTTGACAACCTGGCCTAAAGAAAGAAAATAATTAAAAAATGACCAAAAAGAGGGAGGGGATCCAGGCAGGCAACAGGTCAGCCTTAGTTTTAACTCCCATACATATGTAACCTTCTACACTGATAGACACCTACATCAATATATATAGTAGCCTAATAAGGACTTACTGCCTGGTAACTTCTGAGAATGAAAGCAGGTTGACATCTACATTATGTTCTTGTAACCTTGTTATGCTTCCCAGTGGAAGCATACTTACAAATTTATTAAGGGCTCCGTCAGTTCCAAGGCTGCAAAAGTGGTTTTCAGAAACCCACGGCCTTCAATTCTCATGAGGTATCCTCAGGATACAAGTATGTCCATGAGGTAAGGTCTGTTACTATATCACGCAAAGAGAAAATTACTGCTGACTACTATCAAAAACTCCTTTTTCGGTTAAAGATTTGTACTGCAAAGACTAGGGATAAAAAAGCTTGACACCAGCACACATCCCTTATACATCAAGATGGGATGTTTCTGTTCCTTTAAACTGCCAGCTTACATTCACTGTATGCTTGGACTTTTAGCAGAAAGCAAACCAATACTTACCAGGATGGGAGGTAATAATAATAGTTCTATTATCCAGTGTTGTGATAGGCTTTTGAAAGCCACATAGTGCTTCAACCAGTTGAATATCCATAGACAGAAGGAGGTCTTCATCTCGTCTAAGGTAGAACCAATCAAAAACAGTCACAGAAAGTGAGAAGCAGTAAAAGGATGATACCCAACTTCAGTATTTTAACTTGGCAAGGACAGTAAAGCTGCAGTTTTAACAGAAGCCCTGGCAATTAAATGAAGGATACTGCACATTGATGCACCTCAAGCCAGCAATTACAGGAATGATGCCATTACTGACCAAGTCTAGCTTTCTAAAGTGCAGAAGTAGTTATTGAAAATAAATATATAGAGCAAGGCTCAACTGCATCTGGTTTCACTTTAGCACTCCTTCCCAATTCTAGGAAAATGTTATCTCTCAGCCTCCTAAACACTGAAACTGGGACAATTAATCCCTTCCTTTATGTAGATGAATATTTTCTCAAGTGCATCAGCTAGCTCTACGTTATCCTGTTACATTCCCTTTCTGAAGATTTAGTACTGGAGAAGTTTGAACAGGTGATGGCCACTCTGGGTTATGATGAAAGCACCAAAAAGTACCTGGAAGAAATAATGTAACTGTTTACATTGCCTATTCCAACTTCAGTATAGCAGTCCTAGTGGTATCTGCATGCACTGCTTGTTCAAGGGCTACAAAATTCTGCAGCCTATTAACTTTGTTATTTTCACTCACCCTGTTTTAAAGGGCTCTGGAAGGAGCCTTGCCCAAAAAGTTAATTTTAGACTCTGACAGGAGCAGAGGAATATTCTACTTGTCCCAGAAGCAGCATGACCTCAAGCAGAACCTCGTAAAATCACTAATATCAAGGGTTATCTAAGGACACTAGAACTGGTGGCAGTGGACAGAAAGATGGACACATACAAGCCAGCAGAGTTGTGACTTCCAAGTCTCAGGTAGCCCCACAAACAGTTTGGCCCAGATTGTCCCTTTGACATAGCTAATTCAGTATTTGGTTTCACTGGAAGTTAAGAAAAATCAGCTGAGTAAGCTTATCCAAAGCAAACAGAACTGATTCTTAACCTGTGAGCTCAGTGTCCTTTGGCATAGAGTTCTGACACTTCCCAGCACCATACAGGACAGTCAGGCAGACTAGCTGCAGGTTTCCCAAGAACTTTTGACTCTCTGTCCCTACTTACAAGTACAATGACAGGGGCTGGTGTTGAGATAAATGCTTCCTCTAAATCCATTGATTCCCTTGGTACTACTTTGAACAGAAGCAGTGAGACACTAAGTGCAACACATTTCTGTGAGATGATCAGCATTGCTTTAAATTGGACCAAAATGTACTAGACAGACTCATTCCATAAACAGTAACTTGAAACAAGGAGGTTTGCAACACCAAGCAGTACTGGCTGGTAACACAAAATACTTGAGACGTGGTCAGTGCTGCTTGAGTTAAGTTTGTTGTGCTTTCGCAAGAACAGACAGGACAGATTACCCTGTCCAGTGCACTCAGGCAGGAAATGAAATGTGGGAAACCACCTTTGGTGAGAAGGGGTGCAAGAGATCTTAAGTTTGTCATAAATAAGATCCTCAAGGAAAAGTGAACACACTAGAAGTTTTCTGTGCCTTGAAGCCTAGTGAACAATGAACATCTGCCTACATTAGAAATTACCATTTAGTGTAAGTGATGAACGCTACTCTAGAAAGAGCAAGGAAATAACCGAAAAGATTCAAATCTATTAAACAAAATATCAATAGTTTAAGAGTTCTTAAAATTAAAGATCTGTAAACTTTTAATAATTGCAACTGGTTTTGTTTGTCTCCTATCCTTTTACTACCAAAGCTCACCTAAGCGTGTATAGTGCTACTGGAACAGAAGTGGCTGTGACCAGTTGTACTGGGATTCCTGCACATCTCAGTGCTCCTTCGGCCACTTAAACAAACTCACAGGGGTAGTTCTAGCCACATGATCCTACCTACCGATATTTCCAGTAGATAAAAGGTGAGTGTTAACCAAGGAAGCAAGCATCACAAAGGACTTCTCAAGTTTTTACCTTGTAAATACAGAGTGATCTTTTTGATCCAAGACAATAATAATGTCCCCTGGCTCTAGTCCTGGTTCTTGGTCCCCTTCACCGTGGAATGTTATTTTCTGACCATCTTTCATTCCTATTGCAGAAAACAAACAAACATTTTTCATCTTTTTAAATGAAAAGCAGCAGTAAGAAATATCTTTCTAGGCATAAGCAGGTACAAGGAGATCTCTGGATATTTACATCAGAACATCAGGACCTTCCTTTGAAGCATTCATGATTTTTTTTTCAATCCACTCACATGTCCAACAGATTTTAGTGGTGCCATTCTGAACTACATCTCAAATCATTAAGTCCAATTCTAGTGCAAAACAGCCACTTGCCAAGATAAAGTCCTTAAGGGAAACATTATCAAAACAGCTTTAATTATATCCACAAGCACTAAAAAGAAAACAGAAACACTGTGTACTAAGTACATTTTGAGAGCAAGTGACCAATCAGCTTCCTCAGTTTTAAAAATACATGGCAGAACTACTTATGAAACATGATCTCAGTGCCTGATGAGTGCAAGAAGCACTCTCCCTAGGACTGTAACTGTCATGTAAGAAACCCATTTCACCCACACACAACTCTATCTTAAATTCTAGTTGTCCCATGCTAGCTCACAGTCTGTTTTTCTAGAAGGAAGGGGAAAGAAGCTCTTCTCAATGATTTTGCTGTTTAAAATGTCAGTAATATACTTCACTAGCCCTCACAGTTAATGTTACTGTAGGATTTTCCCTGTTTAAAAAAAATCTAGGCATTGCATAAGGTGTGCTTACACATACAACAGTTGCAAGTGATAATCAGGCGCAAGTCTGTAGAAGCCACGTGCTTGTCAGCTTGCTCTATCTTACAATCCGCACTACTCTATAGAGACTTTTCTCACCAGCTTCTGAGCTGCCTCCTCAACAGAGATGCATTTGTCACTCAACTCTGTCGTGTTCTCCCATTACTCTAAGGGTCTGTGTATCGAGTAGCATTTTGCCAGCCAAAGAGTATCTGCACCGTGTGGCACTGTCAGGGTTGTGTAGCAAACAGCGTTCTAAGCATGAGAGGCTTAGCACTGTGTCTCCACCCTATTGCTGTAGCAGACCTGGTTCCCCTTCACACTGAAACACAGTAGAAGTGATCGGAGTCTGCAGGGCTTCCCTACAGGCAGGGAAAACTCGTCAGGCAAGCTTAGCCATCAAGTGATCAATTTCATTTTAATCAGTTCAGCTACCTGATGAAGACTTGTGCTTACGAGGTTGCTCAAAAATCATCACTTACAATACTGCAGGTTTCAGAATTCATTCTTAGTTATGTGCACAGGCATTAGATAAGAACATAGAAGTAATGAACCTTCCCTAAAAACAAGGCTCCTACTTCTTAAAGGCAGCCACAATTTTAATGTATATGTATTCAGCAGCGTTACTCACCAAATCAACACCATATGTTTTCTAAAGCCTCTGTTCTAGTGCTGCAAAGTAACCCAGTATGTCCAAGTTCAATATTTCACCTTAGTAAGACATCTTACCTTTGTCAATATGAACTTCTAGTATCTTCTTCTCTCTAACAATTTTTCTGCCAGTGCAGCTCTTACACCGGTCCTTGGGGCTGATACGCTCCCCGTGCCCCTGACACTCCATACACACGGACTGGATTTGTTGCACCATTCCTGGGCCAATCTGGTGAATTCTGATTTGCATGCCTGTGCCTCTGCAATTAGGGCAGCATTCTACTGCACCTTTCTTGCCACCACGACCTGAGGAGAATGAAAATTGTATATGGATAGTTACATGCTGCCAGAAAAAACACTCAAAAGCTTTAGAAGCAACATGTATTTAGTTTCACTTTCACAGTTACCTTCGCATTTGTCACAGATAACATTCTTCTGCAGTGCAAGTTTCCTTGTTGCACCATTATACATATCTTCTAAACTTACTGACAACTGATGGACTACATTTTTGCCTGTAAAAGAAAATGGGTAATTAGTGAAGTTTGAAATCTTGATCTCCAAGTAACACTAGACTTCCCATGTTACTATGCTCAAGTTACAATAAACCAAGCCTATAAGCTTTAACATTCTGGTTTAATACACCTTTATCTTGTTTTGCTGGTATTAGTCAATAGCCCCTTCCTATCTGATGTCAAATTAGATAACAACTCTAATGGCTTTGACAGTAACACTCCTCTGTTAAAGTAAGAGACTCTTCCGTGAAAGCACAAACAATAAAAGAAGGTATGTAAAACCTCAGACATTTAAGTTTTATATTGCAGGACTTCAGTTTTAACAGTAACTGAATGTGTCTCCTACAAGGAAGTGGGAGATGCTGTCTAGAGGCAGCAGAGTACTTCTGTCTTCTCTGCAGGGGACTTTCTTGAAACTGAATTGAGTAACTAAATTTTTACACTCGGGAATTAATTAGAACTTCAGCTACTGCAGATTTAATTTTGTGAAGGATCTCAAGTTCTGGCTTACTAGATATACTTCGATACAACATACTAACACTTTGACACAAGCCCTTTTTTTCTTCCCTTTGTTACCTGGTCTGCACTAAGAAGTAACGGAGTCAGTGCTGCTCTTAACCAGTTTAGTTAACACCAGAGTGTTTCCTGGTGTGATTAATCTGGATTTTAATGTCCGAGCAGAATTATATTGCCGCTTCAACTCAATTCCACTGAACAGCACAGGAAAACAAAAAGGTTTCACAGACTGACTTTAACTTGGCCATTTTTTTTTAGATATAGTTACTTCCTAATAAAGATCAAATTAATATTTAGATACTACAGCTGTGGTAGCTTAGATAAAAAGTAATTTTAAGGTATATTACCATTCCCCTTCCTATTCAGACAATTAGAAGCTGGCTTACGCTCAGCTAAATGCTTTCCAAACATGAAATCTGGTTAGCTATTAACACAAGACAACAGACAAGAGACCAAACCACCACTGTACAAATCAAATGTCCTTCCCTG